TCAAATCACCCCTGACAGATGGCCATCCAGCCTCTGTTTAAAAGCTCCAAAGAAGGAGCCTCCACCACACTCCGGGGCAGAGAGTTCCACTGCTGAACGGCTCTCACAGTCAGGAAGTTCTTCCTCATGTTCAGATGGAATCTCCTCTCTTGTAATTTGAAGCCATTCTTCCATTGCGTCCTAGTCTCCAGGGAAGCAGAAAACAAGCTTGCTCCCTCCTCCCTGTGGCTTCCTCTCACATATTTATACATGGATACCCCAGGTTTCAGCGGTGGCCGGGAGAGCTTTTGCACAGTTGAAACTCGTGTGCCAGCTGCGCCCCTACCTTGGGAAGTCAGATCTGGCTACGGTGGTCCACGCTCTTGTTACATCCCGATTAGATTACTGCAACGCACTCTACGTGGGGTTGCCTTTGAAGACTGTTCGGAAACTCCAACTAGTCCAGCGGGAGGCAGCCAGACTGCTCACCGGAGCGTCATACAGGGAGCATACCACCCCCCTGTTGTGTCAGCTCCACTGGCTGCCGATCCAATTCCGAGCACAATTCAAGGTGCTGGTTTTGACCTACAAAACCCTATACGGCTCCGGCCCAGTGTATCTGTCCGAACGGATCTCCCTCTATGTCACACCCCGGAGTCTAAGATCTGTCCGAACGGATCTCCCTCTATGTCACACCCCGGAGTCTAAGATCTTCTGGAGAGGCCCTGCTCTCAAGCCCGCCTCTATCACAAGTGAGATTGGCGGGGATGAGGAGCAGGGCCTTCTCGGTGGTGGCCCCCCACCTGTGGAATTCACTCCCTGGGAAAATTAGATCAGCGACATCACTCCTTTCCTTCAGGAAAAAACTGATTGTTTTAACTGTGATAATTTTTTTAACTATGGTTTTATACATTATGTGTATGTTGTGCAGGCATCGAATTGTGCCTTTCTGTAAGCCACCCTGAGTCCCCCCTCGGGGTTTGAAAAGGGCGGGGTAGAAGTACCCGAAATAAATAAATAAAATAATAAATAAATAAATAAATTTACACATGGCTGTCATATCTCCTCTCAGCATTCTCTTCTTCATGCTAAACATGGCCAGCTCTTTAAGCCACTCCTCATAGGGCTTGTTCTCCAGACAGTTGATCATTTTAGTCACCCTTCTCTGGACACATTCCAGCTTAGAGTCAACATCTCTCTTGAATTGTGGTGCCCAGAATTGGACACAATATTCCAGGTAAAGTGGTCTAACCAAAGCGGAATAGAGCACGGGGAGCAGGACTTCCCTAGATCTAGACACTAGGCTCCTATTGATGTAGGCCAAAATCCCATTGGCTTTTTTTACCACCACATGGCAAAATATTCCCCTCCAAACCCAAGTAACGAAGGTGGAGGCATTACTTTTCATTCAACCCTCATATAAGGAAAGATGAAGCTTAGAATGAGCAAAGCACAAAAAGGAAAACAGAGGCAGCCAATGTGCCCAAAGTGAGAGGAAACGTTGGAACTGCTGCTCAGCACAGGGCTCACAGACCACCTTGAAAGAGTCAACATGCCCAGTGCTGTGTTTGCGCCTCTCTTTTCCCATCAAGAGAATGGCGTGTGCCTCTATGCGCGGGCAGAGGTGTGGGCCGCAAAGGAGGAGTGAGTCAGGCATCACCTGCTTCACCAAAATTGCAGGGACAGAAGCCTTGCATCCCACGAGAGAGGCGTCCTCTCTGAACCCCTTGAGAACAAGCCGGTGCCAAAGGGCCGGAGAAGGCAAACAGTATCTCTCTCTCTCTCTCTTCAATGCAGGTAAAAAAAGAGGAGCCAGGAAATTATAGGTCAGTCAGCCTGGCCTCAATGTCCGAGGAAACACTGGGCGGATTGTCTCTCTGCAAGGATCTGGAGGACACGCATCAGTAGGAAATAGCCCATGTTCAGCAAGAAGGAATCCTGCCCAACTAATAGTGTATCTATCCTTAGTCACATTGCTAGTTTAATAAAGGGTTGGGATGTATCTGGGTCTCAGCAAAGCATCTGAGAA